TGGGCCCGTGACCGAGGAAGGGCGGACCCTCACCAGCCAGAAAAGTGATCTGGACACGTGAGGTTCTCGCCAGGCCATCGCCTCAGCGTCCGCTATCACGTTTTTCCTGGACGAATTCTACGCAACACGGACGCCCTGCCTCGCCACCGGTATGTGCTTGTTCTCTTCCTGGCTGTCTGGGCCACCCACCCGCTGTCCCCCAGAAAGGGCAGAAGCTGCTTCAGCAGCACATCAGTGTGGGGGCAGGGCTGCCTGACCCCTTCTCGGGCACGGCTCAATGTCACCGAATCAACAGGGGCAGAGTTAAAAAGAAAAAATCCAGACCCCCAGAGGGACCACTCCAGGCCCAGGTCCAAAGGGGAGGGTGGGGGGCATCTGACCAACCCCGCACCTCGCCCAGCCTCCGCGGGCCTCGGACGGCTGCCTCGTCTCGGCGGACAAGGGCAGCGGCGGGCCGCCCCCAGAACAGGCCCCAGAACCGCCCCCCAGGGCCCTCGGTGACGTCCAGGCGTCCAGTGGGGGCCCTCCCGGTTGCCCCCCTCCCCCATGCCAGGCAGCCGCACTGACACACCATGGAGCAGAGCGGGAAGGGGCCTCGGGGAGCCCGGGGGGCTCAGGCGCCAGGGGCCCTGCTGCCGAGTCCGGCTCTCTGGGAACCATCGCCACCGCCTGCCTGGCTGCGTCCACCAGGCACCCACGTGTCCCCGGCACTGAGCAGGTACGTGTCGGTGGCCCAGAGGTGATGGGAGTCCCTGTCCCGCGGGCTGGAGACCCCAGGAGGTGCGGCCCCCGGGGAGCAGCCTCCAGCAGGTCCAGGGAGGACCCCGCAGGCCTGCACCGCTTGGCGACGTGGAACGCACACACATGGGAGGAAGCCCCGGGGTGGCCTGGCAGCCAGGAGGCTCGCGTGCCCTGAAGCCCAAGGGCACTTCCCCATGAGCCAACCCCACGAGCCGCTGTGGGGCGGAGCCGTGCGCAGCTCACGGGCCGCAGAGCCTTGCCCGGCCTGCTCCCCAGGCCACCGGCCAACACTCTCCTGCCAGACCTGGGGGCCGGCGTGAGGCCGCGCCGGAGAGGCAGTGACGATCGAAAAGCACTTCGGGCTGCAAATGTACGGTGCGGCTTTTAATTTATTTATGCGCCACTTTAACAAATTTAGGATCCTGCCTCCGGTCACGAGCCAGCGCGCACTCCACTCCACACTCCTCATCCTGTGTCATTTTCTCACGGGACATCTGTTCCCTTCAATATTTAATAACCAAGGAGCCGCTGTGCGCTGGGCTATTTCCTCTCCTGCGAGGAGCAGGCTGTTCTGCTTTCCGAGAGCACGCGCGGCAGATGACTGGGCGGCACTCTGACCCTGGCCACGGCGGCGCAGGCGGATGCGCACACATGCGGGCGGGCGGGGGCCAGGCCTCACCTCCAGCCGCCTGCTGGGGGCCGGGCCAGAACACCGGCCACGGCTGCGGGTCCCAGGAGACGAAAGCAGCGGGACAAGCGCAACGCGTGACCCCAACTCTCCTTGGCCATAAAGGACATTATCGGGACGAACAGAGAAGTCCGAATGAGATCCCAGACCGGATCATGGGGTCCCGTACATGTTTGTTTCCTGACTTGGATCAGGCGGGGAGTTGGGACGAGAGGGTGCGCCTGCTCTCAGGCGACACACACAGGCACCCAGGGCTCACAGCATCACGCCATCACGTCCGAGGGGGCCACCCAACGGCGCAGACAACGCAACAGCGACGGGCGGGGGACGCGGGGTAGGAGGAGAGACACGCAGGCGCGTGTGGCAAAGTGCTGCCCTGCAGGGAACTGGCTGCCTGCAAACGCCACAGGGCGCCTTCCTGACGTCCTGTACATCTGAAGTTGTGTCAACTAAGTGGTTAAAAGGAAAAGAAATGAATGAACCAAGCTCTACTGAACGGATGACAGCGGAGACGACGGAAAAGACGTTTCCAGGCGACTGGGAAGTACGGTGACGGCACGCCCCCGCTGGGGCGCCCCCAGAGGGCAACACGGGGAAACACGCCCCAGCGTGGCGGCGCTCCTGTCGTCCCGAGGCTGTCGCGTGAGCTACGGGGGCCCCGTGGCTGGCGGCTGCCCCCCGCGAGAACCAGCACTTTCAGCACGAAAGAGAAATGAGGGAAGAGCCAGACGGGGCAAGGGAGGACCTCGGTCAGCGCCCGCGAGCGGGGGCGAGGGGGAGACGCGCGCGCCGGTGCTCTCGGCGGCGCTCTTCCCGGGCGCCGGAGGCCCAAGCAGCACCCGTGCGAGGGCAGACTTAAAACCGCGGGCTCTGTCCACACACCGCTGCCCACCCCGGCAGCAGCGGTCACCGTGTTTTGCCCTGTATAATGCGCCCCCACATTTTTGGCCCAAACTTGCAGGAAGAACACCTTTCATTTTAATTTTTTAGTTCGATTATTTACTTATATTTAGAAACAAAACCGATGATCCTATTCCAGGATATTATTTTACACACGGATATCGTTATTGCGTTCTAGACTTACGTTTTAATGCATAGGCATAAACAAAAGGATTAAAAACAGTTACGTAGATATGGAATTGACACTACCCACGTATAATGCACATCCTGATTTTTCCCTCAAAAATTTGGGTGAAAAAGTGCACATTATACCTGGCAAAATACAGTCATTCCAGGGCGGGCAAGCCATGCTCACAGAGGCCTGGGACGCCTTGGCACACCAGAAAGCGAGGCGTCACCCACGGGGACCGGGCGCATCGGAAGGACTCGGAAGCAATCCTGAAGAGGCCCCACGGCCGGGGGTGGGGGCCAGCTGACCACCAAGGAGGCGGCAGCAGCCACAGGGATCGAGGCACCTCAGCGGAGCTCAAAGCCACAGCCTCACAATGACACAACACCCTCAGCGGAGAATGAAGCCATCGTTTTAACAGCCGGAAGAGGACAGGGAGCGCCAAGCGTGCACGCAGCCTTTCCCCCGGGGGCTCCCCGACCGTGCGGCGGCCGGGCTTAAGCGGAGGAAGGACGGCAGGGCCGGGCATGCTGCCGGGGGCCCCGCCAGGCGCCGGGGTGAAGGGGACCCCCGCCCGCCCGGAAGGGCGAGGACGCGTCCAGTCCCGTGCTGAGTCCCTGGACGCCGCGCGTGACAGCCAGAGCGGAGACCCCGCCTCAGAGGGCCGGGCTCCTGCACAGAGAGCAGGAAGGGCGGCAGCCGGCGGGGGCCCGAAGGGACGCAGCGCCGGCTGCGCGCGGAGCCCGTGGGAGGAGAACGTGGCGGGGAGACGGGCGCAGACGCGGGCTGTGGGTCGGTGCTGAAGGGAACTTGCGCCGTGTCCGAGTCCTGATGGTGGGCAAGCGGGTCTCATTTTTACAGCCTAACGAGCTGCCTGCTTCCTCGTTCACAGATGAAACAAGGGGGTGGGGCAGGGGCTGGGGGGGGGGGGAGAGGACACAGCAGCGCGGGGGAGGGGCGGGGAGGCGTCAGAGGACAGATACTGCCCCTCTGTGTGTGTCTTGCTGAGGCTTCCACCACTCAAAGGTGGGCCCTCCGCGCCACCCCAGGCTGTCTCCCCAGGGCTCAGCGCCCCACTTTGATGGCAGGAGGGCCCCGGAACTCCGTGACATGTTCCTCCAACCCCGCGCTGCAGACAGACGGCAAGGGCTCGTCCCGGGACCCCAGCGACGCGGCCCCCCGGCCAGAGCTCCTCTCCACCCCTCAGCATGGTCCGGCCGGGCCCAGACCGGTGTCGCCATGGGCCCCGCTGTCCTGCCCACCTGAGGGCCACTGGCTGCCCCTCCCCTGCCCTGGGAGCCCCTCTCGACAGGGCACCCTTGTCAGAGGCCCCACACACCTCGCCCTTGACGAGCTCTGGGGGCTCCTCGACACTTGTGATGCGGCCGATATCCGGCCACTTGGTCCACAAAAGCCAAGTTCACAAGGCTCCACCTGCTGATGTGGTGGGTCCTCCCGCGCTTGGCCCGGCACCTGTCCAGTCGGCCTCTGGAGGGGCCCCCACACGCGGCCCCGCCGGCAGACAGCCCGCCCCTGCACACTGTGCAGAAACGCAGTGACAGCCGCGTCACCCACTTCTGGGGACCCCCGGGCTTCCTGCCTTCACCTGCAGGTGAGGAGCCCCGTGGCCATCGCTCAGACGACACTGAGTGTCCAAACCACCGGGAGACACAGGGCGGTGACTCCAGTGGGGACAGGGAGAGCCCCGGCCGGGCCAGGTGCTGTCTGCGTGGCGGCTCGGGGGCGGCTGCTCGGGGCACGGGCGGGACTGCGCCTCCCCCCGCATGCTGCCCTGCAGCGCCGCTCGCAGCCTCGGGCCTGCAGCAGGGTGCCCGTGGGCAGGCACCAGCCTGGCCGCCTGGTTTAGGGTCACGGTATTTACTCAGCCCTCCAAGCCTCGGCTTCCTCACCCCTGCACAGGGGAACAGAGGAGGGCCGCAAGCGATGGCAGGCAACACCGGGCACGAGAGAGTGTCTGCGAGGGGCCCGCAGGCCCGCACCATCCGTAGCAGGAGCGCGTGGTCCCGCAGCACGGAGGGCCGGCCCAGGCACCCGGCGGGCGGCCGCCGCACGAACCGCCAAGTCCCTCCCCTGGCCCTCCCAACTCGCCACGCAAACCCAGCAGAACAGAACAAGCATAAATCTCAGTTTCTGCAGACAGCTCGGCCAGTTCCGAGTTAACTGCTGAAAATACAATGCACCCTTTCCACTGAAATAACCCAATTTCCGGGGAACATTTCATTCCTGCCCCATGACTGCCTCCTTTGTCCCGGAGCGCACGGAGGTCGCTGCACGGCAAACCGCGCGCTGGGCCTGGCGGCGCGGCAGAGGCACGGCCCGGGCTCACGAGGCAGAAGGCCCAGCGGGGCGTCCCCGGGGCCTCGCCACCCCGAGCCCAGGGAGACTGCTGTGACTGGCGGACCTTCTGAGCACAGCATCCCCTCTGCCCCCGGCCTCCTCCGCCCTCCCCCCTGCCCCCCCCGCCCCCCCGCAGCGACTCACGTAAGAAGTGCTTCTCCAGTAAGGCGATTTCCAGGTGACCTTTGATCTCATTCAATCGATCAAACTCTGTCCGGCTAAAGTCCTGGACTCCTGCAGCCATGATGAGGGTCCCCGGGCCAGCCTGGAAGGGAAACACCGAGAGCTGCACCCTGCGTCCCCCTCCACCCGCGGTCCCTAGGGACCCGAGGAACCCGTGCCTGGAAGGGCTGGGTCCAGAGCCCCCACCTGCCCGAGCCCCGCAGCCGAGGCCAGTGTGGGGTCAGCCTCAAGAGCCCCATTGGTGCGCCTCCGCTTTGCGGTCCGAATGAACACACACGGTGAAACCCACGAGGCCTGAGCACACACGGAGACCCCCTGCTTGCCTCTCAGCCAGAGCTGCGCACCCCGAGCCCACGCAGGGCCGTGGCCCCTCCTCCCACCGGGGCAGGAAAACAAGGAGCTGGAGGCCGCCTGCACCGGGGCCACGGGCCCTCGGGGCGGCTGAGGAGCACGTGCCGGTGACAGACACCGTGCGCCCAGCAGCCCACTGAGGCGACACAGGCTGCACAGGCACGCGGCTCGTGACACTGACGGCCGCCGGCCGCACCGAGCGCCCCTCATCGGGGGAAGGCCAACTGGAGCGCGGGCACATCCCGCCGTGGGGTGAGGGGGCCAGCCACCCCTGCTGGGAGGGGGGCCCCGCGAGGCGCCAGGGTGCTGCGGGGGGGACCGCGAGGGGGCCTGGCCCCCATGGCCCCTACACGCCCGCCCCTGTCCGCCCCGCAGCCGTGCCAGGCCCACGCCCCTAGGACGGCGCCAGGACCCCCACGGCCCCTGGCGGGAAGGCGGCCAGCCTGTCACCGGCCCTTGGCCCTGTGGCCCAGTGAGGGCGTGACCCCGGCCCACAGGCCCCCGGGCTGCCGCCCCACCCCCCGCTCTCAGACGCCCACGCCCGCAGTCGGGCCGAGATCCGGGCCGAGCCTGGGTGCCCCGCAGGACAGCCCCCAGCGCAGGACAGGGCAGGGAGCTGCCGCCGGCCCGGGACGGATGGAAGGACAGGCGGACCAAGCCAGGAGCCCCGAGAACACTCCGACTACGGCCTGTGTGTGGGATCCGCGACACGCACACACAGAACTCGGCGCCATAGGCAGGGGTTCCTGCTCCCGAGGGGCCCACCCTCAGCCGGGAGCCACAGCCCGGCACCGGCAACACGGGGCAAACCCCACTGCCCTGCCGGACTGGCCTGGCCACTCTGCAACAGGACTGTGCCCGGAACATGGCCGGCGGGGCCCTGGCTGCGGGGGAGCGGGGGTGCCCACAGGAGGCAGCCAGTCAAGTGCTCCGCCCCCCGGAGCGAGCGCCCAGGTCTGGTCACCGGCAGGGCGTTAGTAACCCACGGAGCGGGGACGGTGGGCGCGCACCGGCCAGGAAACCTGGCTCGGGCTCGGAGGGGAAACCAATGGGCCACCCGATTGGTGTCCACGCCAGGAGGCCTCCCACGAGCGGCGTGAGAGGGCTCTGGGCTCCCCGACCAGCAGTGGGCAGGACTCGGCGGCCGTGCCCACCGGGGACAGGCCCAGAGACCGCCCCTGGCCAGAGAGGGCCCCAGAGATCCCCCCCACTAACGAAGCGCAGGCTTCCGGAAGGCCGGGCCCATGGGTGCCTGGCCCGCAGTGCCCGCCAGGGCGCCCCAGACGCTTGCTGCCCAGTGGAGAGTGCCCCACCGACGGGCCCACGGGGCCGCTGGCCCCACGCAGGCCGATGAGGGCTCACCAGCTGCCGAGGGTCAGGGACACGCACTGAGGGCAGGTGGCGGCAGGCCACCGCCAGCGGCTTCCAGACGGGGCCCTGCCCTCCTGCTCGGCACTCCCAGGGGTCAGGGTACGGTCAGCATCGCTTCCGCGTGAGGAGGTGCCGGCCACCCAGGAAGCCAATGGGGAAGGAAGCCCGGCTGCTGGGCCAGCCCTCAGAGCTGGGGGCTGCCAGTCCCACCAGCGACAGGGGGCCGGGGGCGGGGGCAAGGGGAGCCGGGCGGGCTGGGCGAGCAAGCCCAGCTTGCCTCTGACCCGCTGGGCAGGCCACGTCCACCTGGGCCCACGCTCGGCCTGGCCCCTGGGCTAGGGGTTCCTATTCCGCGGGCCCCGGGGTCCAAGGCCGAGCGGTCGGGGGAGGGCGTTCCAGCCCCAGGAGGCCCCGCGACACTCACAGGGTCCCGCAGCTCCTCGCTGTCCCGGGGCGAGGTCCGCGGCGTCTTCAGGGGGGCGTCGTCCCCGCACTCGGTGTCCGAGGCATTGGGAGACTCTGCCAGGTCCAGGAAGTCGTCTCTCTTGTGACCTCTGAACCTGATCCTGTCCAGCCTCCTTAGCATGTTCAGGACCGAGCCCCTCTGCTTTACCCTAGCATGGCGGTCGGGCTCCCTGCAAGGGAAGAGCGGGGCACGGTCAGCGGGCACAGCCAGCGGGCGGGGCCGTGGTCCTCCCCAGCCCCCACGCACGGCTGCTGGCCCAGACCAGGGCAGCGACCTGCCCCGCCCTGCACCCGCCCTGCACCGGCCCTGCACCGGCCCTGCACCGGCCCTGCCTCCTGCCCCTGCTGCGCACAGAAGCCGGCCTGCTGTGCCCCCGCGGGGCCGAAGGGAGCGCAGGGAGTCCGCAGGGCCAGCCTGGGGCCCTGGCAGCTGGGACCCTGGGACGGGGGGGGGGGGGCACAGCAACGGACAGTGAGGGCCGACGCTCCTCGCAAGTCCTCCTAAGGGAACCAGCGAGACTGCGGCCCGGGCTGCGGCTGCGTGAACTGCCTGGGAGAGCCACACCCCCCCGGAAGCTGCCGGACACTGGGGACCGAGGGACGGGAGTCTCAGCAGGGGCCCTCTCTCTCCCAGCCCCCTCCCAGGGACAGAGCCCAGGCTGCTCCGCCTGCCTTCCCGCCTGGTCGGCCCTGCCCCTTTGCCCTGAGGGGTCTTCACTCACACACAACACAGCTGCTTCGCAGCAAGGCCCCAGGACCGCAGGCGCAGTGGGCGGCTGGTCGGCCCCCTCCAGCCTGGCCTGGAGGCGGGCGTCACGCTGTGGGAGCCGCAGTGTGGCCACAGGGACACAGGGAAGGTTAAACACACACGCACACCCAAAGCTGGATATGCCCAGTCCCCACCTCTCTGTCCCAAGTCAGCCAGGAAAATGCAGGTGACGCCCCGAAGCCCCAAGGCGGAGCTGAGCGGCCCTTCCTCAGCGCATCTGGCCAGCCCCACTCAAGCCCAGAGCCCCGGCCACGCAGCCCCGACCAACCCCAGGGCTGGCCGCACGGCCCCTCGCTGGGGCTACAGGTCACACTGCACACACACCCAGGCCCCGGTGCCCGGGAGGCCCTGGGCCCTCGCAGGCGGGGGATCCGGGCCGGCTGAGGCTCGAAGCCGGCCCTGCCGCCGACCGCCGCTGAGCCCCAGCGTCCACGTCTACAACGGAACACTGCCAGCGAGGCCGAAGCGTGCCCCGAGCACTCCTGGCAACGCACACGAGGGCCGACACTGTGCCTGGACCCGATAAACAATGCGATGGTTTCCACACGGGGCGGCAGGAAGTGGGAGGGGGCAGGACGGACGCTGCGAACCCCCCGGCCGCCCCACTTGGGTATCTCACCGCGAGCCAGGAAGGCGGGGAGAAGCGCTTCCTGTTTCCGACCGTTGGCTGGCACACCGAGGCTCCCCAGGCGCCCCGCCCGCGGCACGGGCCGCTCAGAGCGCTCGGCGGGGCCCCGGTCCCTGAGGGCAGGTGAGGCGTGCGGCTCTGAGGGCAGCGGCCGTGGGTGCTCTCGGGACAGGCGCGCCTCAGCGCTCCCTTGGGACCCTGCACGGCGGCCGGCGCGGCCCTGCCCCAGGAGCCACAGGAAACCCGGCGCCGGCGGGGGGAGCTCGGGGGACGGCGGGGGCGGGGGGGTGCGTGCAGCCCCGCACAGGCGGTGGCGCCCCTGCGCCTGGTGGGCGTGGGGGCACATGGCCAGCTGTGTGGAAAAGTATGTGTGCAAAGGAGCAGCGAACTCCAGAGGGACGGAAAGGTTAAGTAAACTTTTTCTTTAAAAACAAACCCAGAAGCAAAGAGAACTTAGTGCTTACCAAGTCCCTCGAGAGGGGGTAACCATCTATTTAAGAGGCTGAAAACAATTATTACAAAGTTTAAGAAATCTGTTGGTCAAGCGGCCAAAGTAAACTTCCATTTAAAAGGATGCAGTGAAGCGGGGCCGTGCGCAGCCAACGGGGTCCATGAGGCACCGCTGCCTTGGCTGTGAAACAGGCCGGGTGAGTTGGCGAAAGCCACGGGCGCCCAGCCCACAGGCGGGCGCGCGCCCTGCGCAGAGGCACCCACGGCGGGAGGGGACTCACCCCGGGCGCAGCACAGCCTCCAGCCGCAAGGAGAGGAAGGCCGGATGCGCACAGGCGCCCTCGAGCCAGAACGCGCCTGGCAGAGGCATCCCGGGGCCAACCGAGCAGGCGGGGCCAGCAGCCAGCCTCGCTCCGGCCAGGAGAGGACAGCGGCGCTGGGAAACACCTCCCCCCACCCCCCACGGGGCAGGGCGGGCGCCGCTCTGCAATGTCCTGCTGGACTCACGCCCCAGTGAGTGACACGGGCAGATATAAATTGCCGCTACCCCGCGGTCCCCGAAACAGCAAACGGTCTAAAACGACCAAAGGTACCACAGGTGTTAGGGCTGCAGGCTCGTGGGCGGTTTGTTATACTTCTCTCCCCGAACGTCCTGTGATGCTTCCCTATCCCTCTTTAAAAGAAATCAAAATACGCCAGAGAGGGGAGGGCAGCCGCGGGGAACCTACTTCCTTTCCCATCGATTCCCTGTCCTGCAGCGTCCAGCTGACCCTGGGGAAGAGCCCCGCCTGCACGCGCGCCCAGAACAGCGGTCCTCCGGCTTGTCTCTGCCCCACAGGGCTCACCCCCCCACACACCCCAGGCTGGGGCTGCCCGCCTTCCCAATTCGGCGCCTGCAAGCAAATGAGGTGGCCCCACAGGGAGAGGGGACAAAGCACACAGTGTCCGGGCCCTGCCACCATCAGAATGCACCACACGCCCAGCCCGGGGGACGGTACTGGGCCCCTGTGCACGAAGCCACCCAATGGGGCGCGTCCTTCCCGCCACCAGGCCGCCTCAGCCCCGGGCCCCCACTGCCGGCTGCTCACATCAGCCCACGTCAGTGCCCAGAGGCAGGCAGCCAGAGCGCGGGCCTCCCAGGGGGCCGGCTCTGTCCCCACCCCCAGGACCCCGAGGCTCCTCCAAGGCGTGGACGGGGCCCGCGGCCGCCCGCTCAGGCCCAGACCCCGCAGCCCCCGCCCCCCACGGCCCGGGCCCAGGCTGCCGGGGCGGCCCCCACGCCCGGGATGGCTCGTCCGAATCGCAGCTGCCAGGCCCCGTTTCCCAGCACAGGCACGTTCACAGGTTCTGGCTGCACATGAAGTTTGGGGACACCATTCAACACAGCACTTCCCCGAACGTTCGGATGAAGACGGGGGACAGACACGGACGGTCGTCCACAGAGAGGGAAGGAGGGCCGGGTCCCAGACACCGACTGGGACCCAGAGAGGCTCTTCCCACGAGGCCAGCGTCCAGCGGCGCTGTCCCCACAAACCTCACCAGCACCTGCCTTCCGGTCACTGCTGTCCCGTGTTCCCCCCCACCAGCCCGTCCCTCCCCGAGACGCACGGGAGGGGCTCACCTCCTCAGACACCCCCCCAGGCCCACCTGGGCAGCTCCCCGCCCGCCCCCCTCAGGGAGCAGCTGCTCCGAGCAGGGCCCCGGCCCCGGTCCCCACAGCCGCGGAGGCCGCCCACCCGCTCCTCCACGTGGAAGCGCGAGTCCTGGGAAGTGCCCCGCTCAGGGGCCGGCGCTCCCCAGGGGACCTGGGACCGCCCGCCTGCCAGAGCGCGGGCACCCGCTGCCGGTGCCGGCCCCAGGACAGCGGGGCCGCGGGGCCTGGGCACGTGGGCCTGAGGCCAGCAGAGCGGGCCGGGCACACAAAGCGCTCGCTCCGGAGCCCCGCCGAGCGGCTCTGGACGCACAGAGGCAGCAGTGTCTGCGGGACAGGGGACTGGAAACCACAAAGGATGTGACTTCCCCTTCCAGCCCAAGGTTTTAGAAAACGTGGCTCCTGACCTCCGTGCCTGCCGCGCCCCAGCCGCCCCCTCTCGAGGCGCGCCCAGCACACGCTGAGCTGAGCCGCGGCCCGACAAGCCCAGCCTGGCGTCACGGCCCGGGGCCCCCCCGCGGGTCCCGGGACACACAGTGTCTGCGCTCCCACAGGAAGCACCACGTCCCTGGGGAGTCACGTGAGAACCGAGCGCCTCCCTGTGCCCCCACCAGCTGGTCCCAGCTGACCGCCGCCTGCCTGGCCTGTGTCCTCAGGGGAGATGACCCCAAGCCCTGCGGCCAGAGCCGTCTGGGACAGCAGCTGCGGGCTCCAAGGCTCTGCAGGGGGAAGGGTCAGGGAGGAGGCGCTGACTAAGAACCGGTTCTGGGCAGCACCCCACAGCCCCACCCCTGCAAGCTGCTCCCCGGGACCCCGGCCCGCGCCACGCCGGCCGGCCGGCCATGAGGGGCCCCGGGCTGGCCCAGGCAGCTGTGAGCACGCAGGACCGGCTCCACAGGGGACCTACGCACACGGTGGCACATGCTCATTAAAAACGTCGCTGGCGTGAAAACGCACAGCACACGCTCACCAGTGACCACAATACATTCAGCGGCCTCAGAGGCCAATCCCCCCAGCCAGCAGGTGCTCCCAGGGGCCCCTGCTCGCCGCGGCCTGCGCCCCGCGGGTCTGGTTCAGACGTGAGCGGTGACAGTTCTGATTGCGTCGACAAGACGCAACGGAGGTGACAGTGGAAAGCACCTGCGGGGACCTCGCTTGTGAGGCGCATCTCGCTGAAGGCCTGAGTCTGTGCATCGCAGGAGGCCCTCCCCTCAGCTCTCCCGGCCGTTCGGGGTCGGGGGGCGCCGCCGGCCGGACCTGCACGTCCCCCCTCCCGTCACCACTCCCTGAGGTCCAGGCCACCAACGAAACAAGAAGCGAAACCCCGACTGGTCGCATTGGACAGTTTCTGTGGTGGAAACGGTCCTCTGGCTGCGAGAGCGCTGTCCCCGCCAGGCTGGCAGCCCTGCCCGTGGCCCCGTCACCTGGGATGACAGAGGCAGCCCCCCGCCCCCACCGGTCAAACCGGGCAGCAAAATGCACTAGATACCCAAGAGCGAGGGATTTCGAGTACGTAATGCCTGCTTCCCCTCTGACTTCTGTAACTGCAGGTTTACACACTTTCACTTTTATCCGCGGCCAGCTCACCGAGTCCCGGAAACTCCCGCAGCGGCCCCCGCAGGCCGTGCCCTGGAGCGCCCCCTCCGCCGCTGAGCGGCCCACACCCACCCTC